TGTCATTGCCCCATCTTATGAAAAATCATCCTAAATTATGCAGCTTTACACAATAGGATGCACAATAGGATCAGTGTTCCGGGCCGTACTTAATGTAAAATGATTTTGCAAATAAAAGAAGTGCTTTTGTTCCGGAGGCAGGTGGATACAAGTATTAGGTCTTTACATTTTAAATAAAGTAAAACATGGCCAGATGTCTTAAGGGACAGTGAAAGTTACAGTTGTTTGCAGATTTGTCTCATTTACCAAATCTTGCTGCTGCTGAAGGATGCTAGTGGCTTTATTGCCCTTGATTGTTGCAAATCTTGAAGTAGGCACTTGTTATAAATTTGATTTATTAATAGATGAATGGTGCTAATACTGGTGTGTCTCATGTCCACAGCTTTAGCATTATTCTTCTCCACATTTAGTTTGGACTCAATCATAACTTTTTTGTATGAGGCGAACAAGGTGTTTGGCTTCATCTTTGGGGAGAAGTCGTGTTGTCGACAGAAAGCAGACCTCTGTCAGATGATTGGACAGCTGTGGTTGGTTCATAACATAGCAGCACATCAGGAATGTATTTTGTCTCTCAATTATTCCGTGCTTTATATACCTACATCAGTATATTGCAGTCAGTTCTTTGACAAATGTTAAGATCCAAGAACTTGACAGATGAAATCCATTTTTTCTTTGTCTCAGTGAGGACCTAGGCAGCAGCGTCCTGAATCAGCTGCTGCTCAATTTTTTAAAGAAATCTATAGACTCACCTTTATAGTAGTTGACTAAGGATAAATAAGTTTTCCACATTCTGCTGAGACATAAAGTTCTTTAATCATTGATTTGTTCTTAAGGTTATTTATTTGGTTGAAATCCAATTCTTGCTACGTTAAGATTTCTGGCTTGGTTTGCGGAGCGTCTGCATGACGTCAGTCTCCAGGGCCTGTGGGAACACACCTGAGAGAAGAGACATGTTGACAAATGTGGAAGATCTGAGGACGTGCAATTGGAAGCATTTTGCAAAAGCCTGCTGGCAGAATATCAAGGCAGCAGCAGGAGGACGATTTCAGATGATGTCCTCCACGGTTCTCTGGTTGATAGGATCAAACTCTTTTCTGATACTTGATTCTAAGTGAATACAAGACCAACACACGTCCTGTTTCTAATGCGGAGGCTCTGAGTGCTTGTTGAATTTTTCCGAATGTTGGCAGATGAAAGTTCAGAGGCTACTGACACAGTAGGGTGCATTAGCCTGTTGACGATAGTTCAAGTAAAACATATGAATTTCAAAATGCTTGGCTAGATGTTAGAGAAAAATAACCACCTTTCATTTCTCACTTTGAAAATACGAATGTGAAATTTAATGAAACTGAAGGTTTGTTTCCCGCCTTTGAGTTCAGCGTGTCGACGTGTCTCCATGGAGATGTTTTCTTACCAGAGACAAACTTCATCCCTGTGAATACAATGACATCAACACATTTAAGTATTAATACTGAGTTGAAATACAAGCTCATTGACTGAGACAGGCGATACGGCAGCTTTGAGAGGGAGGACATGAATTGTTTTCAGTGATTTTTGAACACAGAGATGATCAGAGAGAGAGCGACATCAGTCACCTTAGAAATGTTCGGGCCCTTGGCGATGAATGACTCCGGAGTGTTTCCTTTGTTGTGTGTGGGCTCAGTCACATGCTGAGTCAGTGCGTAGTTCTCGAGAGCACGCCACGGTTCTTCAGTGCCTCTGTCCTTAGGATTGTGAAAATGGACAATACAATTACAGACAAAAACGACACCTTCACAGTCAGCTCAGAAAAACTGTGGCTTATTGGTTTTTAGGAACTTTATACCCTAAACTCAACCAAATCGTAAACATATGTTGACATACTTTTTAAGAGCAATAGCAATTCTGTGCAGTAACATACAGGTAACCACTCCTTTATTTTAAAGTACAGTTTTTATTAGTCTCATATTCATTGACTGTATTATGCCATATTTTAAATTTAACTTTAAATTTATTTCGGAAGTAGCACCTCATTGCACTTCTTTCACTTGAACAATGACAAAAACAGGCTCTCTATTCTCTTCTATTGTCTTACTCTGTTTATTTGTAGAACACATGAATAACTGTGTGTAATTTGTTATGAGCTGTAATACCAGGGTCATTTTTGAGGCCGTGTTTTTATGATTCTTTTCTCACTTTTGGCCGACAAATCCCCAACTGCATTGAAACGACCAGTATTTCATACGGATGTGCTGCAGGGCTAAGGTCAGTGTGACGTACGATTAGGAACGGTTGAAGGGCTGTCCACCGGGCTGCTGCTTAATGAAGTGCTAACATCCAGATACTCGCTGTGAGGTGTGCTACATAATATGTCTCAGAGTTTCATGGTGGATGCTTTTGATCACCCGTGGTGTGCAGCCTCTGAGAAGATCAGAGTGCAGGCACAGCTCTCAGATCCCCCCTATATAAGCTGGAAGCTGGTTGTGGAAGGATTGTGTGATAGCAGCTCTTTTGCATCATATAGAAAAGGAAATCGTTCAGTCATTGCTGCAAATTGTTGACATCCATGTATATATCATTATCTCCTCCATGGAGATTATGTTTGTTTCTTTGTGGGACATTTCTGTTGTCGTTTTCACTATTTGCAGAGCATTTCTGTATTTTTATGTGTTGTGAATTATTCCAGTGCACGTGGCGTCAAATTGATGAAATTGTTTTTCTTAATGTGCAGTGCGTTGAGCTCTCGCCCACCGTAGTCTAGTGGCAAGATTACATAGAAACAGCTGAATGGATTTCCATGAAATTTGGTGGAAGTGTTTATTAATTTTTGGTGTGTAGAGTATATTCAGATCAGGGATGGATCTAGGATTTTTTATTTTTCATTTTCTTAATCAGTGACACATTTCCCAGGGAAATAACTCTGGGATCATGGTGGAAAATTAGGCATATTTATGGGACTGATATCCACGTGTGTGAAAGTGATAGTCTTAATTTAATAGGACTGTTTGGACCTAGGCAGAGGTTTGTGCTCCACTAGCTTTGAGATACTTTTGTTTCCCCATATCACAGCTAATATTTAATGTGTGCATATATAGACGTTGCTATTTGCTGTTTAAATATTTTTTTCCACTGCGGTATAAGACCACAAAACTAACACCAATGACTTTTTCTATTTCCTCACCTCAGGCTTTTGTCAGAACCAATTGCAGATCTTTTGACACATGAGGTTACAGGTCATGGTTGTATTACAGCAGGTTATAGGTTTCAGATGTCAGCTCCTGTTGATGTATAACAGCCTGTATCCTACATCCTAAGATACTGCAAGAAAATTCTAGCCAGATTCAGACCCGCCAGTCGATTCACCATATCTAATCCAAAAAGCAGCATTTAAAAAGATACTTATGTGTTTTAAATGGAAATGAGTATTAAATAAGTAATTTCATGTACAATTTATGCACAGTTACACTATTTTTGCACTGTGGATTTCCATCAAGCAGTCACTTTTTAACCAAAGAGCCTGTGCTACCCATGGGGTCCAGTCATTGTGCTTCTCAGCACCAGCAGAGAGCTCCACTCTCCCTCTCACTCCCTTTGGGATCACGCAGGCCTGCAGTTTATTCACCATATCGCTAATTGCCACTAAGGGGGCCCGTGACTCTCGTTGCATATAGCTCAGCACTAGCCCACAATGGACATTTCCATGAGTAAATCCAACATTAGGGAATTAATTAGGTAGAAAACAATGGGTCATAAGAGTGCTAACGACAGAATAACAAGGCACAGAGTCTTATTCTGTGCTCACTAGACGTGGTATACAAATGGGTAGATGCAGAACGCTAATTAGCTTTAGAGCTTAGCTACGGCCCATTTTCATCAGTGACAACTCTTTATGTGCAGGATATTGTTCATGTTGTAAAGTTTTACCAGTAGAGCATGTTGACATGTTTTCAAAACAGTTCCAAGCATTCATATCTGCATTATTTATCATGTTGAAACCATCTCTTATATAGTTTTTCCGTTATTCTTTCGACTTTTTTCATGTTAAAATTATTGAAAGCAGCAATAACTGATTTCTGTCACCTCAGGGCAGTGAAACATGTAAACACATCACTTGCACACAATCACCTAGATATTATTGTCACTAGCAGTTGTGTATTTCGACCCAAATCCAACACGCTTTCCGTTTTTTGTGTCTGAAGCTGACCCAAGTCTGATGTTTACCACAAAAAACAAATACACGCAGTCTGAACAAATCCGGTCAGGTTGGGTCAGGTATCCATGCTCTCATTCATGTCCATATCATGAGCAACATTCTTCTTGTATTTCTCGAGGCTTTTGCAGATTTAAATCCATTATCATCCTTTTAAGTCTGTTTTGGTTTCCAATAGCCCCTGAGGGAAACATCTGGCTCTTGGTTTCTAAGACCTGTTTATGCTGAAGACAGATGCCTGCTGCTGCTTGAAGCAATGTCGATGAGTGTTGAGTCTTAATGGTGACGTAAAAGCAGTAAAACGAATCAGAAATTTGCTTAAACTCTCTTTTGAGCTGCAGAGTTCAGTGATTCACTTCCATAAATGTATTGTTTCAAGTGACCTCTTTAACATTACATGCAATTTGAACCATTATTCCCAACAGAACATATTATTTTGTGCAGCTTATGGGTGTCTCATGAGTTATTGCTCTCTTGTTTCTGTTGTTTTGACCCTGTAAAAACTGATATCCTGTGTTTCTCTGCTTATTACTTGATACGAATGAATGCTTTCCTTTTCATTTGCTGGAAGGACATAGTTTTTGTATGTACTTTTATGTGACCTAGCCACTTTAAAGGTAGAAAAGTTTACTTAGCTGTTATTGTTCTCCTGAAGCTGCTTTTGCTCTCAGCTGCTTGTGACTCACCTTTCCTCCAGCTCAGTGCACCATGTAATGACCACAGGAGAGAAGTTATTACTGACCAGCAGTTGTTTGCTTGTTTGTCGCCCTGTCTTTGAACTGAATGCTTATCTGAGCACGCTCCTCTCTAGATTTGGAGATGGCTACACGGTGATCGTGAGGGTCGGGGGCTCCCCTCCTGTCTTGAAGCCCGTCGAGGACTTTGTGCAGCAGACCTTCCCGGGCAGCGTCCTGAAGGAGAAGCATCACAACACGCTGCAGTATCAGCTGCCGTACACACAGGGTGCACTGGCCACCATCTTCAGCCTGTTCACCAGCCACCAGCAGGGGCTCGGTGTGGAGGACTACTCTGTGTCACAGACCACTCTAGATCAGGTAAGGCCTGTGGAAACTCTATTATTGTTTGTTTGTTTCACTTTTTAAGTATTACTGTGTTATCATTCCATGATTCCAGCTGTTGAAATCACCCCTGGAAATAATTTCTTTAGATTTCGGAAACCCTGACTTAACAGAGGAGCTAATTATTGAAAAATAAATATGACTTTGTTGTCTTCATTGTCTCTGGATCAAATAGACATTGTCCATCCATTGTTACTATTATAGAAAGCCAAATATTAACAAGGCCTTACCCACACAGAGTCCATGCTTTTGTAATAGATGCACATGTATTTAGGGTTGTGGTTTCCAATGAACAATTACACATAGTTAAAACTGTGAAAGACTTCTGCATTGCCTTAGGTGTTTGGTAATCTGAACTGGAAACATTATTATTTCCAAAGGTTTTTGTCAAGGCACAGATGCAGTGATGATTCAGTTTTTATTCAAATGCAGCATTATTCCTCCGAATCCAGAGGGGAGAGCTGTTTGTTCTTTACTTGGAGCTGAGCATGGAACTGGATTTGTTCAGTCATTGTTGTGATTATGCCTGGAAGCAAAACAAGAATTGTTGCTGGTTGCTGCTCGAACAGAAGCAGAGGATGTGCAGTTTGACTTAAGATTTCTCCTCTGACATAAGCAGAATTTAGGTGGGGTATCTGGGGTCATGTTCAATTGTGCTACTGTAGTTCTGTGGAGTAACGGCTCAGTTTAATAGATCATTAGGTCATTAATCAATGCATTTAGCATTTTAAGTGCGCTCGGTTAATGCAAGTCTGCTCATTCCAGGATAAGATTTAAAGATTTATCTCTGCCTACACATTGTCTTCTCCCATTTAGGCTGTCAGACTGACCAATGAGGACTACGCAGACTTTTGTGTTGCTATAGTTCAGCCACCAGCTCCCATTATTGATTAAGACTGAGATTATATATTTATTTATACACACACAAAGTTACCCCCCCAGACAGAGCCCATATTTTATTCCCGCCCAAGTGCACTAGCCAGCCCTGATTGTTGAGATATGGACTAGCTTCACCTTGTGTTTTCGAAATGGCCCCAGGGACCTAATGCATTCAGGCACTCTGAGGAGAGTGCGAGTGTGTCTGGTCTTGCAAGCCCGCCATTAGCTCAGCAGCAGATGACCAGGAGGGAGGTGAGGATGACCTCCGAGGGGTCCAGAAAGGTCATTGCTGCACTCCAGCATGTGGGGAAAAAAATAACCTCTTCGTGGATTGGAAAAAAAAATCCAGACAGAGACGTGAGTGAGTGACTTGTCTGTGCATTGTTTTGCCTTGAGAAACTCAATGTTAATTCAAGATGAGGCCTTTTTTTTAACATTATTTAAATATATTACACCCTCAGGGGTAGATGATAAGAGGAAATGTTAAATGCTTTAACCCAGTCTGGTTAACCTTCAGATTTTAATACCATTACCTCTAACCTTGAGTAATGTCTTATCTCTAGTTCAAGAACTTACCCCACATTCTGCACTGGTCAATATTCACCAGATCAGAGGTAGTAAATAAATCATACTTGGACCAGAGGGGTCACAGAGGGGACGACTGAAGAACCTGTTGAGACCTAGACAATCACCTTTCAGCTGGTGATTTATAGAGAAGAGCCCTGACCTATAGTGTAACACCCGACTTGCACTACAATTAATATTGATCCACGCAGCCTGGAGCTCAGGCGTTATCGCTGATGGCTGAGACAGTGCACACCAGTCGGAGCATTTGAAAGGAAAATGTGACTTGTGGAAGCAGATTGTGTGGCAGGAATGTGGAGCATTTGCTTCTTTGTGTGTTGTCAATGGTCCATAATGTCACTTCTGTGCCGGTGAAACAGCTGATAGGTCCGTCACATGCGCTTTAAAACGATCTTTTGTTGAACTCAAACATGGATTAACTTTAATGCATTATGCCATTTTTTTAATTACTGCCTGTTACCATGAATATAATTTAGTGGCCAACTTTGAAGGAATTTCATTTTGGTTAGAAAACAGCCATCTTTAAGAATGACCCCTACATTCTCAAGTTCTTTCTCAGCCAAGAACCCTCGATAAGGTAGAAAATATTCCCCACATTTATGTCCCTTGGAATAATTTGACATAGTAGGCTACACATAATAGCCTATTTTTTACTATTCTGCTTAGTTATTTAAAAGAACAACAAAGAGAAATGTCTAGGAAATATATTTTCAACATAGAATACCCATATGTCATGGTGATTTCAAGGGATGAATCTGGAAATTTCACACACTTGAGAACCGCTGCTTTACCACTTTATTTTTTAGGATTTATTCAGGTCAAAATAAGTGTAAAAAACATCAGTAATGAAATAATTATACTGTTAAACATGACAAAATGAATTACTTAGTTTTCCCTTTTTAAATACTCTTTAAAGTCTCATTACATCTCACAGTCAGTGTCCCATCACGGCAGTATGGGTGAACATGTGAACGGCATGTAGCTGTGCCATTTCACGTTGTGCTCGGACTCCTTTGATATAAAGGGGAAGTTAATCAGGTGATTCAATGTCCTTCACCTCCTCTGTTCTGCCTCAACGACCATCAAATAAACACCCAATTGCACCCTCTGTAATGTAAGTAATGCCTGTATCCATCTGTTATCTAGAAAATGTCACTCAGTAGCACTGGTGCATGACTCTGCGGCCATGAATGGATGGTTGGCTAAATACAGAAAGTATATTAAGAGGAGAATCACATCTCTAAGCTGGGGATGGATTCACCACGGTTGTCTCAGTCAAAAACGCTGTCAGCTGCATCATTAAATCTCTTTCAGAAAGTCAGACACTAGCAGCGCTTATACATTATTTTACAGCCTTGACTATGAATACGAACTGCTGTGCATTCCTCGGCACATCAAGCCAATATCAGCCAGTGGCAGGGTCAGAGGCCGACAGAGATGGGCAGACGATGTATTTGTTGCAACTGTCATTCTCATCCTCTTCCTCATTCTCCCCTGATATGATGTCTTGACAACTCTGACCTTGATACACACTGCGGAGGGTCTCACATCACACAAATACATTGTGTGCTCTGGCCTCAGGCGTTCTGCAGGTGTGGCTCACCTCTTACTTACAAGGTATTCTCCTGTTCGACTACTTCCACACCAAACTAGCTGCCAGCACCAAGAGCGTACACCTGACAGTTTCTTTGTCCGAAAGCTTGTCGGTGCCCACTCTCAACAAAATGATATGTGAAGGAAAATCGTTATTTGTTTGAATGAAATCTGTTGTTTCTGTTTTAAAAATAGAGTGGATGGGTTTCCCAAAAACCTGTTCAACCTTAGAGAGAACTAATAACCATAATTCACCGTGGGATGATTTAAATCACAGAAGGCGATTGTCCAGGCCCGTTAATGACAACAAGAAATTGTTGGTGGTGGCATTTGGGTAGAGCACGCAGGAGTCAGGACATGAAATATGAATTCCACTGTACATTTTCCTGCTGTATTTTCACATGGGCTCACTCAAGCATTGTACTCAAGAGCTCATTCCTCATCACCACTGACTAGCTGCCCTTGTGCAAGGCTTTTGTCCTCCAACTGCTGCAGCTGCTCAGATGCTCTGTGAGCAGCAGACACCGAACAGGTTATTAACACTCAAATCTATGCATTCAAGATTACTTGTATAATTAATTTTATTGCATTGTTCCCAAGAAGTAGCTTGATGTTTAGGGAGGTATATTTAAGTGATTTCTTGCAAGGAAGTGGATGAAGAGATCGATATCACTCTCATGTCTCAAGTTTAGAGCTGAAGCCAGGTGAATTAGTCTAGATTAGCATGAAGAAAAACAGGAAACTAAGGAAAATAGGTTTTTACAAAATTAGAATCAATTTTATATAATTATTTGTGGGTTTTGAAGATGTTATGAGGTGTAAATACTTCTTGACTCCTGTGTCACTGCTGATCACAGTTACAGTTTTTGCCAAATTATATTTATATTATTTCAACTTATAGAAATAAATATAGCCTGATACATGAGCGATGAAAATGCCTGCTGTCCATATTTATCACTGGAAAACACAGGAAATGAAAAGCAGATTTATCACTTTAATTGAAAAACTAAAGTTTGCAAAGTCTAATAAGACTTTTTTTCTCTGTCGTTAACATGACTTTATCAGGTTACAGATTATATTCATGGGCTAATTAAAAACAGAAGTTTCAAAGGCAGACAGGATTGATCTTTATTTCCTTGTCTTTATTTTCTGCAGCTTCTCATAAACGAAAACCCTGAAAAGATTATATTGTTCATTCCTGTTCATTTATGCTGCCATGTGTATTATTCTCTGTCCCGTTTAATTTTGAGAAGGGTTTAATTCACATTGAGTCAGAGTAGTTTTTCATGGAAGTGGTCATTGAAATTTTGAAACACAATCTTATAATTCTCATTTTCTTTTATAATCACAGCCTCTGAAAAGCTTCGGAATGAAAAAGCAATGCTCTTATCATTTTGTATGATCCTCTTTGTTGCTTCTTTCTGCAGAGTTAAGATCTCTGTATAGTTTCACCACAGCTAATGCTAAGAGACCAAAAAAGAAAGCCTGGACTCCAGCGATGTTTACAGCGCAATGAAATACACACAGCTTTTTATGAACGCCTTCAGATTGATTTCTGTTGACATTAAATGGGCGTCACGGAGAGAAGAATGATTGTTTTATTCTCTTTCCCAGCTGGTCAAAGATGTCAAACTGACATTCACTGTGTGAGCCCAGACGCTTACTTGAGTCTTCACAGCCCTTGTTTAGCAACTCATTCACATGCAACTCATTCTGTACGGCCAGTTTTGTTTGTTCTAGAAGCGTCGGGCGGAGGAGAGTAAAAATAAGATGAGCAGAGAAATATTTTCAGGGCCTTTTGATCCCGTGTGTGTTTTAACTGCTCGTCTTGTTTTTAACTTTACGTACTTTTTCCTTGTCGTTATTATTCCAGGTGTTTGTGAATTTTGCGAGGCACCAGCACATAGAGGAGGAGGCCCAGGGCTACGACAACCCGGTGGACACCTCAGATGAGCAGCCATCTCTGAAGAACTCCCAAGAAGCAGAGAAGGTGTAACGCCCATAAGGAACACAAGGCTCCTACAGTGGGCCGGCGATATACACTAATCAAAATTAGATGGTTGTGATGTTCCCACCGTGAGTGATGTACGGTATTCCACCCAAATTACTGCAATTTGCATATAGGCAGACCTTTCGGAAACATTTTCTGAACCCACCACATCAATTCCTAACACTGATCAATTAAGAAAGGCAAATTCCTCTGCTGACAATGGCAAAGGAGCCAAAGGCTTTCAAACCCTGCATATACCCGCTAATGTTGATGTTAGTGTTAAAGTATTTGTGGGGGTATGTTAACCTACATTTAACCAAATAATCATCTTTATAGCAACAAATCAACTACAAATGTCGTAAATAGTAATGACACTGGTTCCTTGTAATGTCTCCACCATGTGTGGACTCTATGTAATGAATAGATGTGTCAGAAAATGCATACGTTTCATTTGGTTGAACGTATACTGCTGATGTTGATATCTTACCTCAAGAGAGTAAGAGCCAAACTATCCCTCAGAGCATCATGCATTGCACAACAACCAGGATACCTCAGCACTGACTTTCAAATTGAATTGCAACCTTTTTACCGTTTTTAAATGTTGCTTGTTGTTTACATTAACTTTGGATTTTAATGACATGTTGAACTGTAAAATTATTGAAAAGGAAAATCCCTACGACTTATTATTGATGACAATGAATTTGTCAGGTCAGATATTTGATGCACTCCAAGAACTTTTAAAATTAATGACACCAAATTAACTCAACAAATGACTAAAGAGGAATCTTTTGTCAACACTGATTCCAAAAGACATTAAACCACAGTGAGTTTCAGCCCAGTTGCCACCGAGCAGAAACGATTACTAACAACTCTCTCAAACGTGTTGGCTTTGAATTTCTCAATAAGCGTCCAATCAGCTGTAAATTGCGTTCAATGAAAGACGCTGAGGTCACAGCACTGAGGTGATGCACAGTCAGTCAGAGACAAATTGCTGTCAAACATATTTGATCTGCAAGAAAAGCAACAAGCAGACAACTTCTCTTCAGAGCCTTTCTGATGCTGCATTAAATTCAGTGATCGGTGATTAACTTTAGCACTAAGGATTTTTTGTCATAAGGCATTCTGGGTATTGGCACTGGTGTATTGATCCATGACCACCAGAGATCAGTGGCAGAACTCTGCTGATGAAGTGAATCTGTTTTGCCACAGTGAGCCTTCCAAACACCCAGTGGTAATCCTGAAAACTTGATTGAAAATGGGTGATGACTCTGCATAGCAATGTGCCTCATCTGCAAAGTTAAAATGTCTTGGCTCCAGTGCGTTTTGCGAGTATATGGACCATTTTTATGGCAATGACCCTTTACAAAGTCCTGCCTCCTTAGTGACTATAACTCCTGCTGTCAAACCTCCTCTCTGCAGACTGGTGACAACGAAAACAGAGTTACCTTCTCAAACGGTCATTTCTGGAATGATGGATCTTTGTGGTAAACTAAAGAAGACATTCATTTTGCATATATAACAACCAGTGTGGGCTAGTTTCAATTGATATCAGCTGTGTATTTGTGCCCCAAGTTAACCTTGAAATAAAATCCCTGCACAAGGGTCTTAAATGTAAATGGCAGATGTCCCAGGAAAGAATTCAGCATCCTCACAGTTGATGATCTACTTTTCAACATTTGATCAGCCAAATAAAGGGGCAGCATCATTCTTGTGTTGCAGCTTGCTAGTTAGCTTCCAGTTAATGCTATGGCCTAAGAAGAAACTCTGGAGGAACACTGTAGTTCATATATTGGCTTGTGAGCTGGATATGTTGACGTGCCTACTGTATCCAGTCACTGCTGCTAAGCTGTGATTGGATAATTATTGCTCAGGGGAGGAGCTTAGTGAAAGCTCAGTTATGACTACCAAACAGCCGTTTACAACAGTTTT